CGCGCGCGCGCACACACATACAGACACACACACACACACATGCAGACAGACAGACAGGCACACACACACACATACAGGCACACACACACACACACACACATACAGACACACATACAGGCACACACAGGCACACACACACACAGGCATACACATACAGACACACACACAGCCCTCCCTGACGGTTTACTTTCGTTGACCAAAACCCCTTGCACCCCCTGCCACCACCGCCAGGGGGAAATCCGCGTGTCTTCCCGCGTGCCCTGGGTAAGCAGCTCTTGTGAGCCACACAACTACCCTTACTGGCTTTTCCCAGCTGCTTTCCCTGGAAAACTGAGGAAAAATGAAATGGGAGGCAGTTCTGCCGTGCAAACCAGTGTCCACGGGGATCCAAGGGGAGTCTTCGGGTGTATCCTGCTAAACAGTGATGCTCCTTTGCCTTCCAGCTGAGGAGATCCCCAGGCGAAGTGTGTTTTCCAGGAGGCAAAAGTGAGGCAGCAGATAAGGATGAGATCGATACCGCCCTCAGAGAAGCCAAGGAAGAAGTAGGGCTCCCGCCAGAGGAGGTCGAAGTCGTCTGTAGGCTCATCCCTGGGCTTGATAAAGTAAGCAATATACTGAAAGCAAAGCATTAGAAAACGAGCTTAAAACTGTACTCTTTTCATTTGTAAATATATTTGCCTTTTGTAAGGTTGATCTTCTCCAAGCCTATTGCTGTGAATAAGCACTGCTTCTTAACGTGCACAGACCGTGTTGCCGGGGGGCGAGTGAGGAGATATTTGGCCCTGGGGAGACACCATGTGAGTGCCCGGGTGCGGGCACCCAGCAGCCTGCACTGAGCACGCCAAGGCCCCGGCAGCGCGAGAGAGCCCAGCTGAAAGGCACCAGGAGAGGAGGCACCACGTGAGGAGAGGCCGGGAGGGCTGAGGGCGCAGCCCAAACTGAGCCAGCAGGAGATCTGATCCCTGCTTCCAGCTAGAGAGGAGACAAGGCTGGTCCCTTCCTACAGGTGCGCGGTGAAGGGCCAGGAGAGCCTGCAAACCAGCAGCAGCAAGAGAGGGGCTGGTTAGGTACAAGAAAAATAACTTCACCGTGAGGTTAGATAAACCCAAGAACAGTTCCAAAGAAGTATATATATTATAGATGTATATATAAAAATACCCCTAGGCTATAGGTACAGGGTGCATATAGTGGAAGTTTTTCTTCCTCTAGCAGATAAACCTTTTTAGCAGCTCTATGATCATGCAGCATGAGTAGAATATTAGAAAAAGAAATGCTTAATTAATATGAAGAGAATTTTAGAAAGTTATCAAGTGTTTAAAAGTAAATATCTTGCCATTTGAGGGATTAAAAATGCATTATAAATATGAATATTTCATAGGTTTCTCATACTCATCTGAGTATGAGAAATGAAGAACTTTACTTTGTACAAAATTAGTGGTTTGGGTTGTTTGTTTGTTTTCTTTTAGATGAATAATTTGGTAACACCAGTTGTGGGATTTATAGAGGACACCTTCCAGGCCACTCCTAATCCAGATGAAGTGAGCGATGTCTTTGTGGTGCCACTGGAATACTTCCTTGAGCCCTTAAAATACACGGCCTTGCATTATAAAACATCATCTGGTCACCGAAGTCGGATGCATTGCTTCACGTATGATGACAATGAGCGTAAAACATCATTCACGATTTGGGGACTTACTGCACACTTTGCTGTGTTTCTTGCTCTTGTAATTTTTGGAAGGAGACCTACCTTTGAAGTTGATTATGACCTTGACAACTTAATTTCATCTGCTGAGCAGAACTTCATGAATTTATATGCATCGGTACAGCAAGAGAAGAAAAGTAATCTATGAGATACTGGACTGCCAATTAATTAAACTTAATGAAATTCGTGAAGAGGGGTTGACTATTCTCTCTGTACCTGTTACTTGATTTAACTTCACATTTATGTTTTTCTGAGTTGGGAACTTTAATTAGATTTTTTTAAAGTTCCGATAAGTTAATCGGGCCCTAATTGGATTCATGTAATTATTGTATCTATATTAGGGTTGTCAAAAACGCACAGTATTTCTGATGGACTTGGAATTGATATAATGACTTGCAAGATATAGGTTCAATTTCTGCATGTCTTGCGTGATCTCAGGTTGGTTCTTTAGTAATGCCTTCCTTTTGCATAGTGAGATATTTTTCACCACCTTTTCTGTTTGAATGGGAATATAAACACTTTGGAGGATCTGTCTGCTCTTACTCTGACATAGCACATGGCATAATGCCTGCAGTCGTGATAACTCTTTGAGCACTGTTATGAAGTACACAATAAAAATATAGGTGATGGTGCTTTCACAGTCTTCTTTTTTGTTGTTTGTGTTTTTTGGTGGGGGTTTGGAGGGAAGGTGGAGTGATGGGTTCTAATCCTATTGTTCAACTCACCCTTTCTCCTGTCAAAATTTGCAGGCATACAGGCTCTGAATGGTACTGACCTTTTCTTCAGAGAGAAGAGTTCTTCCTCTCTGTCCTCTCTGTTAGCCATCACTCATTCAGCTTCTAGGAGGAGTCATTTTAAAGAGAGAAAAGTAGAGTTCAGAATTCCTGAAAACTGAAGGGCTCAGTGAACCTTTACAGGTCCCCCTGGCAAGGTCAAACACAGGGCGGTCTTTGGCTGTGAAACTTTGACCACTTGTTGCTGCTGGATTAGCAGTTTATTCACAGTGGTCATCGCAGGGGGCCAAATGATTCAGTTTTTAGAAACACAATTGAGTTAAACTGGATTGGAGAGCAGCTTAGAAAAGAACAAGTTAACAGTCCTTAAACGGCTAGTTGAAAGTATCCCAGCTAGTTGAACGTGGTCTCAGGTGTGTCGTGTTTGCTAATGTGGAGAGTTGTTTCTCCAAAATGAAAGTTGCCTTTGTTCTAACTCAGTAGCTGTATTAAGTGTTCCTGAAATTGTCTAAACATTTAAAGATAAACCTAACTTTAAACTCTTCCTTGTATTATTCATATCCTCTGTGCTTTATCCTAATGGTAATGTATACAGGGAAGATAACTAATTAAAATAAGAACATTGTTAATTAAAATAAAGCAAACCAATTAGACCTTCAATTAGTAAACAAAATGGGTACTAAATAACATAATTAGTAACTTTTCCTCTTCCTTCTCTGGTCCAAGCAGGCTTTTTTCTTACCTATTTACGAAATCCAGCACCGAAGTCTATACAGGTGTTTTATACACATAATTCACCCTCTGAATTTTCCACCAACAAATCAAAGGCTACTGCTCGGATGAAATGTGTTACCAGATAATACTGGTAAATATATTAAAAATGTATTCCATAATCTTCTCTGAAGTAATTGGATAATTCATGCAACATGACAGTGAAATGAATGCAAAGATTGTATCAGAATTAACTAAAAATAAATAGTATGAAGTTTAATGTGACTTGTTAGTCATTCTTTCAATCAACAGGCAGTGATTTGACATCTAACATTTCTCCATCTTTGCTCAAATAATTAAGCTTTTGGCATTTTAAGTTTTTGCAAATATTTAACACTACACATTTGAGATGTAACTTAGTATTTAACAATTACAAATGTATCAAAGAAATTAATGAAATGAAATGAAATGAATGTGTGTTAAGATATGTTTACAGCATTTCTGTATTGGACAAAACATACAATATCACATTTCACAAAGTTTAATTAAACTGAATGCACTGAAATCCTTGTTACTTTTTCATAGCTAGAGGTCATGCAGGGTTAAGAGTCATAGTTAGGTAAAAACATAAATATTCAAGAATATATCGACTATATTATTTATAGTCAGCCTATGCATACATCATATACAAATATACATATAAGCAATACAAAATCTGGAGGAGGTTGTATTTCTGACTCTTTTAAATGCTTACAAGTCAAGATTAGGCAGATACAAAGATTTTTTTCAGTAGGTTGCCATAGCAATGCAGTTTTCATAGCAGTACGTGTTAAACCATTGCCAGTTAATTATTTTTTTTAGTTGTAATAGAAGAGGCCATTAGATAATCCCTCCTTCCCTCTAACCTTATCCCCTCCCAGAATATAATCTAAGAAATGAGGTAGAAGGAAAAAGGAATCATACTTATTTCTGCTTTCTTGCAGAAGCTGCCGTTCTCTTGCCATTACAGTCAGTTAGGGATGGCAGAGATTCAACATAAATTTGTTTTATGCCATTAAAATTGGCACCCAAAGAGTAAAAGGAGTGCTTTATGATGTTAATTAAATTTACAATACTGTAAGGCTGCCTGCTGCTTAGTGTTTTAGATCTGGGGTAGGTTTTGTTTGTTTAAAAAAAAATGCACTAGGAAAGAAAACATCCGCGTAATAATGAAACATTAATGAAGAATAATCATCCTGGTCGTCAGAAGCTGCTGCAGGGGAATGGCTGCTCCCTGGCTAGCAACAGGCTCGTTATTTTGGACACACTTCTCATCCTGAATTCTGCAAACCTACAGGCTGTGATGACCGTTACAACAGAGACTGAGGGAGAAAAATAACATGATATTTCATGTATTACTGCAGTAATAAGTATCTTCTGTGGCATATCTACCCCCTATGTGGAGATGCAAGGATATTTTGAGATTTATAAAGGTAGTGAAAAACAGAAGATTCTTGCACTTTAGCTCTGGAATAAAGCAGGCAGAGCTGTTTTAGCACATCTGTTGCAGAGTTACTACTTTTCTGTATTTTTCCCTTCCATTTGTGACTCCCAGTGAAGTCCTAGAACAGCTTAAGAAAACTGCACATGAAAAAAAGGGTGACAGATATGCCTGGAGATGTCTTCAATTGTATTTTTAGGTTTAGCTTCCCTGATGCAGACTTTCAGGTAACCCAAACCATGAAGTAAATACAGCAAATACCAGTTTACACCCAGCTGACACTGTAGTTCAGGTATTTATATGAACCCATTTTTGTTTCAGTAGAGTTAGGAAAACGTAGTTATTTTACCATTATATACACCATATCCTTTTAATGGGAAGCATTTATTACATAAAGTGCACTTAATATATTTGGATTTATGTAGCAAAGAGAACTTTGGTTTTTAATTTAGCTATAAGCCATAAATTCAGCCCAAAGCTGGGGCTGCTATCTAACATTGTGATATCTTCTGAGAAATAAGACTCCACTAAGACAGCTCTTCACTTTTGACATCCTTCAAGCTGCATCTGAAGATTTACAACTGAAGTTTTAAGGTTTTAAGGTTTTCCAAATTGAAAAGTTTCTTTTTTTTTCTGACAGTTGATGCTGTAGCTATTGCAAGAAGAAAAAGTGTAATTGGAAATCAAAGAGAAAAGGTGAGAGAAGGTCAACAGCAGTAAAAAGAGGGGAAAAAGTTATAGTTGCTTAATCCAGTGATGTTCACGTTCAGAGGCCTTGCTTAATATATTTTCTTAGTAAATATCATTCTTCTAAGGAAAAAAAAAAGAAAAAAACAGGGGCAGTCTCTGTTCTTGGAGGTTGTTCACTAAGATACATTGACTGAAGGAAGCGGCTGGCATCGGAGCTCCTCAGGGGCACGGACGCAGCTGGGTACTTTCTGTTTCCTACTCTGGCCATTTTATACTTGGCAACTGCACAGCCCTGCAACCTGATTTTTGTAAATATTAAATATTTCATTTACCTATGAAACATTAAGGCTTACTAAACAGGATAGGCAGATGGTTCACAGCTTCTTATCTGTATGTAATCATAGCCAGGATACAAGGACATTTCAGTCCCACGTAGGCCTGCGAGCCCGACCTGCAGCTCCGCTGGTTCTGGATCTGCAGTGTCTGCCATGTGACGTCGGCCGTCAGGCGAGCGGACATCGTAGGTTTGGGTTTATTCAGTATAAAAGAGTATCCAGAAGAGTCTTCAGTCTTATATTCCTAATGTATATAATTAAACCTTACCTGGACTGAATTCCTTCAATTACTAGTGACTTCCAGGCACACATGGCTGAAAGCAGACTAGGAGTCCTAAGGCTTTAAACTTCTAGTGATCCACCTTAAAAACCATCTTAGCATACGTCTGTTCTCCTAAATCAAGGGCTGTAAGCAAATACTACCTCAGGTTACCTTTCATTGGCTGCTTGAACCGGACAGCACAGGAACGCGACATTGAAATGTTGTATTTTGGGATAGTTTGTGTAAGGGTTATGTGTTTTTTTTTGAGGTAGTTGTTCCTGGGGCTTTTGTGAGGGGTGACACTTTTTCTGCGTATATTTCTAAAGCAGAAGAAATATTAAAGATAGAATTATTTTCCTTTGCTAATTGAAAACAAAAATACAATTAGAGCTCTGCCTGGTAGGCTTGCAGAGCAACCCTCTTCAAAGCTTTACTACCTGAATCACTAGGGACTTGAGTAAGAAAATCATCTCTATTCAAAATAACAATAACAATAATTTTAAGCACGAACTTCATTTCCATAAAACACACCGAAGCGTGGAAGAGCAAAATTAAGTGGCTTAGATGCTTTTTTGAGTGAAACTTTTAAGATATTCAGTACAGTATTTAATTTTTTTCCTGTTCCATCAGATTCAATACTGGATAAAATTTACCTCCCTCTAAACTGTTCTGCACAGAACAGTATAAACCAAACACAGGCAGCTGAAATCTTTTGCTGAAATTGAAATGTCGCTTAAGCAAGTTTCTCCCTGCACTAAACAGGAATGGGATTTGACCCTTCTTTCAGGATCAAAAATCAGTCTGGGAACTGATTGTGACACAGAGGTGGCCAAATTGTTAATGCTCTTTGACAGTGCAGCCCATCAGTCTACCGGGTGATCTGTAAGATTGCACCCAGCAATGCACCTTGGCGCTTTGCTCTCATTTCTCTTCTGTTTTCCTTCGTTTCATCTCTTACTT